TGTGTTGGGAGAGCTGTGTGAGGATGAGCACATCACACAGTCTCTCCTTCCTGAGCCTCAGTTTCCTCATTTGTAAAGCAGGCATGTGGAAATTGGTGGCGGATGTCTGTGAGGATTAAACTCGGGGTGGTATTTTTCTTTACGTTTTGACAGGCTCTCAATTCACAGACAAGGCTGGCATTGAACTTGTGACCCTCCTGCCTCCTTCACCTTCTGTGCGCTGAGGGTGCAGGCATGAATCACAACTTGGCCTCTGCACAGCTTTCGATGCCAGCCCTGGGACAAGAGGCTTTTATATTATCATTGTTGTTGTTGTTTGTGTGTGTGTGTGTGTGTGTGTGTGTGGTGTCTGTCTGTCTGTCTGTCTGTCTGTCTGTCTGTCTGTCTATGTATGGGTATGTGCGTTCAAGTGCAGATGTTAGGTCCACTGAAATTAGAATTCTAGGCAGTTGTAAACTGTCCTACATGGGTGCTGGAAACCAGAACTCCAGTTCTCTGCAGGAGCAGCAAAAAAACAAAAACAAAAACAAAAACAAAAATGCTGGCTAGTAACCCAGAGCATTCTCTCCAGCCCTTGTTTGTTGCTTTTTCTTGTTTTGTTTCCTGAGACAAAGCCTCACTATGTAGCCCAAGCTGGCCTCAAACTTGTAGAGGTCCCTTGGTCTCAGCCTCCCGAGTGCTGAGAACTGAGGATGGCGGGCAGCGCTTTGCAGGGCTTCCAAGAGGTTTTCCCAAGCATTCACTGGTATGGTTAATATGACAGTTTAAATATCCCTCCCTGGCACCCATTTTGTGCTGGAAGTTTTGGGTGCCCTCCCTCTTCCCTGGAACCTGTCTTCTTTCAGCTTTTCCACAAATACATATCGTGACATTTTTCTGCGTGCTGAATCGTGCAGGAGGACAGCAGTTATTCAGCAGGCTGGCCCTGGCTTTCAGGAGAAGGCAGCAAATCCCAAACAGTCCACAACAATCCCTCTGAAATGAGGGGGCACAGGCCAGGGTGTCCCTGGGGAGGGACACGATGCCAGAGTTGGGAGCCACAGACAGAGTCTGTGGTAGGCGTGAGAAGGTCAGGTCTGGAGAAGGTATTAGCATCTGAGGAAGCCCGGAGCCACCAGGGAAGCCGAGGAAGGGAACAAACAGCAAGTGATATGGTTTTCGTTTAGGTTTGTTTGTTTTTGTTTTTGAGACAGGGCTTCTCTGTGCAGCTCTGGCTGTCTTAGAACTCACTTTGTAGACCAGACTCTGGCCTCGAACTCACAGAGGTCCACCTGCCTCTGCCTCCCTGAGTAAGCAGATTAAAGGCGTGCAACACCACTGCACGGCTTCATTTACATTTTAAAACATGGGTGTGGGGGAGTGGTGGCTGCGGGGGACACACACACACACACACACACACACACACACACACGCACGCACAGAGGTCAGAGGACAAGTGGGAATCCATTCTCTACGTGCACCAATAGGTTCTGGGACTGAATTCAGCTCCATCAGACTTGGTGGCAAGTGCCCTTACCCAATGAGTCATCCTCCCCTCCATCCCCCAGCCCAGGAAGTGCTGATTTTTTTTTTTTTAAGATTCTGCATTGTAGTACATACTTGCCTTGCAATTCCAGTACTGGAATGGCTGAGACTGGAGGATTGTAAACTTGAGCGTAGTGGAGGCTTCATGGTGAAGTCCTACCCCAAAAAGCAAAATGAGATTCCCTTTGTGTGACTGTCCCCTGTTTTAGTGTATTGTTTCAACCTTGCCATTTAGGAACAGAGCCTGGTATATAGGATGACAACACCAATGTAGTCACAGCCTGGGCCTCTCACTAACAACTTGGACAGTGCTCCTGGGTGGGTGGGGGGGAGGCCAGGGGCTGGGGAGATGGCTCAGTGGTTAAGAGCACAGACTGCTCATCCAGAGGACCAGGGTTCAGCTCCCAGCACCCACACAGCAGCTCACAACTGTCTGTAACTCTGAGATCTGACACCCTCACAGCGACAGGCATGCAGGCAAAACACCAACGCACACAAAATAAAAAATAATTAAAAAACGAAAACAAAAACAAACTTCCTGGGCCAGAGAGATGGCTCAGTGAGCAAGAACCTGGGTTCAATCCCCAGAGGCCACATGAGAGAGAGACTGGCTCTGGCACTTGCCCTCTGACCTCCACACATGTGTCATGCGACCTCACACATAAACACAAATGGGAGCAGACGGCCTGTCTTCTGCATGGGTGGGGAAGCCCCTTGTTGCTGCCCTTATTTTTATGGTCAAGTCAGGTTGTGACATCTCCATGTGCTTTTGGGTGTGGCAAAGCAGAGGTGAAAGAAGCCAGGTTTGGAGAAGTTGTGTTCACACAGCGAAGTGAATATCGCACTACTTGTCTGTCGTGAACTTATCATGATATCTGGGGAGCTCGTGAGTGGGGGGGTTCTGGAACATCCTGTCTGCGCTGTCTGATGGTCATCTCCCTGCTTCATGGAAAAAAAAAGTGCTGTGTGTGTGTGTGTGTGTGTGTGTGAGAGAGAGAGAGAGAGAGAGACAGACAGAGAGACAGAGAGAGAGACAGAGAGAGACAGAGACAGAGAGAGAGACAGAGAGAAAGACACACACACACACACAGACACACACACACACAGAGATACTAGGGATTAAACTCTGAGCATTCCACATGTTATTCCAATACTGAGCTACACCCCAGCCCCTCACTGGGGAATTCTAGGCAGGGGCTCTACCACTGAGCCACCCCCCAGGCCCTCACTGGGGGATTCTAGGCAGGGGCTCTACCACTGAGCTACATACATCCCAGCTTGCTTTTTACTTTTTGGTTTTCAGATAGGGCAACTATTAAGTTGCCAGGACTATCCTGAACTCCTGCATCCCAAGTCAGGCCTTGAACTTTTATGCCTCCTTCTCCTTAGTAGCTGGGTTGACAGGTTTGTCTTCTGTGCCCCAGCTCCAGCTGGGGAGGATGAGTGTTGCTGGCCAGCTGGCTGCCTGAGCCACTTATCCTCAGGTCTTCATGGTAACAAAGTGTAGCTCGCAGGAATGCTGCTGTAAGTTAATTGAGTAACTAAACATGCTGTTTGATCTGTTTTGTATTTTTGAGGCAGGATCACACTATGTAGCCCAGGCTGACCAGCAGCCAGAGATCCTCCTGCCTCGGCTTCCCCAAGGCTGCCATCACAAGTGTGTGCCACATCTGTCTAAGACAGTTTCCAAGCGACTATTTGATGAGGCACACAGCTTTGAAAGGAAAGATGTTCACGTTTCTGAGAGTTAACACATCCATAGGCAGAAAGGTTCCATTCCATTGGTCCTGATGCGGTGAACGCTACGAATTCCCATTTCAAAGATGGGTAAGACAGGGCTCAGCAATGAGGCCCCC